GCTCCGGGATGGATGGGAGGAGCGGGGGTGGGAAGGCCGGGAGGGAGAGGCGCGGGGGGGGGGCTAAAAGCGGCCCCGGTACCCCCCGGGATGCCCCAGGGACGGCTCTTCCGTGGGTTTGGGAGGCTGAGAAAAACAGGGGAAAATAGTTTTTCTCTTTGTGCGGAGGGGGAGAGAGCACAACCACTGCTCATCCGCCGCCTCTCTGAGCTTCAGCGTCCCAAATTCATGTCACAGAATCATAGGATGGTTCGGGTTGGAAGGGACCTTAAAGGTCATCCAGTGCCAACCCCCCTGCCCTGGCAGGGACACCTCCCACCAGACCAGGTTGCTCCAAGCCCCATCCAGCCTGGCCTTGAACCCCTCCAGGGATGGGTTGAACCCAGGGATGAACCCCTCCACAACTCTGGGCAATCTGTTCCGGTGTCTCACCACTCCCATAGTGAAGAATTTCTTCCTAAATCTCCCCTCTTCCAGTTTAGAACCGTTACCCCTCATCCTATCGCTCCCCTCCCTGACAAAGAGTCCCTCCCCAGCTCTCCTGTAGCCCCTTCAGATATTGGAAGGGGCTCTAAGGTCTCCCCGGAGCCTTCTCTTCTCCAGGCTGAACAACCCCAGCTCTCTCAGCCTGTCCTCATAGCAGAGGTGCTCCAGCCCTCTGAGCATCTTCATGGCCTTCTTCTGGACTCAGGATGTCAATCATTTCTGCCCCCTCTGAGGAGGCCACCACTCATCAGCAGACCATGCAGGACTACCAGATACCTTCATACCTTCAAGGCAGCCAGGTTCAGGGGCCATAGGGCCAGTGGCTTTGCCTGCCTGCCCCTTGGCCTTTTCCCATCACTTGCTCTTCTCCAAGAAGGAGGCAGGGTCCCCAAGGGATGGTAGTAGAGCGCAGGGTGGTGTCTGCTGCTGGCAGTAGGTGCTAGGAGGCTTCAGTGGGCACCCCCACTGTTGGAAACAAGTGTCCATTGCTCAGGCATGTTTGTTACCCTGGACTGCAGACCTGCAGCCATGGCAGCTCCCACTGCTCATCTGTGCATTGAAGATGCACTAAAATGAAGGCGGGGGTCAGGCTGCCAGCCCTCTCAGGGCAAAGTCAGACTTTAAAGAAAAAAAGCTGCAGGCTTTTCAAAGAGGAACTATAGTCTGAGGTGTCCCCGGGGGTTTACTGACTTTTGCTATAGCAGTGAGGGACCTGGGAGAGCCCTTCCCTGTGCCTGGGAGATGCGGTCTGAACAGCATGAAGAGCCACCTCTGTGTGCCTCACAACTTGCAGCCCAGCAAAGCAGTCCCAGAGGATCTGAGGTAAGAAGATGTAGATAAGGGGATTGAGTGCACCCTCAGTAAGGTCGCAGATGACACCACACTAGGTGGGAGTGTTGATCTGCTTGAGGGTCGGAAGGCTCTACAGAGGGACCTGGAGAGGTTGGATCAATGGGCCAAGGCCAATGGGATAAGGTTCAATAAGGCCAAGTGCCGGGTCCTGCATTTCGGTCACAACAACCCCAGGCAACGCTACAGGTTCTTGGGGAAGAGTGGCTGGAGCTGCCCGGAAGAAAAGGACCTGGGGGGGTTGGTGGACAGCCAGCTGAACATGAGCCAGCAGGGTGCCCAGGTGGCCAAGAAGGCCACCAGCATCCTGGCCTGGGTCAGGACCAGCGTGGCCAGCAGGAGCAGGGCAGTGATGGTGCCTCTGGACTGGGCACTGGTGAGGCCTCACCTCAAGGGCTGTGTTCAGTTCTGGGCCCCTCACTACAGGAAGGACATTGAGCTGCTGGAGCATGTCCAGAGGAGAGCCACCAAGCTGGGGAGGGGTCTGGAGAACAAGTCACACAAGGAGAGGCTGAGGGAACTGGGCATGTTGAGTTTGGAGAAGAGGAGGCTGAGGGGAGACCTCATTGCCCTCTACAACTCCCTGAAAGGAGGGTGTAGAGAGGTGGGGATTGGCCTCTTCTCCCAAGGGAATAAGGACAGGAGCAGAGGAAATGGTCTGAAGTTGGGTTCGAGGAGGGTTAGATGAGATATCAGGAAGACTGACTTTCCTGAGAGGGTGGTCAGGCACTGGAACAGCCTGCCCAGGGAGGTGGTGGAGTCACCATCCCTGGAGGGATTTAAGAAACGTATAGAGGTGGCACTTCAGGGCATGCTCTAGTGCCCGAGATTGTTGGGTTGTGTCTGTTCGTGAGTGGGTGTGGTGTGTGGTGTGGTTTGTTTTGTTGTTTTTTTTACTTTTTTTGTTTGGTTGTTTTTTTTTTCTGTGGTTGGACTCGATGATCTCAAAGGTCCCTTCCAACCATGAAGATTCTGTGATTCTGTGAAACGCCACAAAAAAGGTGGGATTTCCCCCAGGCTTTGCAAATCAGCCCCCAGTTTTATGTCTATCAACATGGCCTTGCTCTCGAAATTAGAGAAAATCAGCACGCCCTGCTTCACGGAATCACAGAATTGTCAGAGTTGGAAGGGACCTCTAGAGATCATCTTGTCCAACTCCCCTGCTGAAGCAGGGTTGCCCAGAGCACATCACTCAGAGAGGCTGGCAGCACGCTGCGCCCCACTTCATGGAATCACGGAATTGACAGAGTTGGAACCCTGCTTCACGGAATCACAGAATTGTCAGAGTTGGAAGGGACCTCTAGAGATCATCTTGTCCAACTCCCCTGCTGAAGCAGGGTTGCCCAGAGCACATCACTCAGGAGCATCCATTGGGGCTTGAAGATCTCCAGAGAAGGGGACTCCACACCCTCCCTGGGCAGCCTGTGCCAGGGCTCTGCCACCCTCACCCCAAAGAAGTTTTTTCTCATATTTGAATGGAACTTCCCATGTTCCAGCTTGAGCCCGTTGCCCCTCGTCCTATTGCTGGGAACCACTGAAAAGAGTCCTGCTCCAACATCCTTCAACTCACCCTTTAGATACTTATAAACATTAATAAGGTCTCCCCTCAGCCTTCTCTTCTCCAGGCTCAAGAGTCCCAGCTCTCTCAGCCTTTCCTCATCAGGGAGATGCTCCAATCCCTCCATCATCTTTGTTGCCCTACACTGGACTCTCTCCAGCAGTTCCCTGTCTCTCTTGAACTGGGGAGCCCAGAACTGGAGGCAGGATTCCAGTTGTGGCCTCCCCAGTGCAGAGCAGAGGGGGAGAATGACCTCCCTCCACCTCCTGGCCACACTCTTCCCTCTGCAGCCCAGGATCCCATTGGCCTCTTGGCCACAAGGGCCCATTGCTGGCCCATGGAAAGTGTGCTATCTACCAGGACTGCTTTGGACGGCACCCGGGCTCCCACACTGCTGGAGCAGCGCAGGGAGAGCTGGGGCTGAGCCCCAGGAGAGGGCCCCCATCCCTGGTCCTCCTGGTCCAACCAGGGGGGTCTCACCCCAGGGGCACTGGCTCCCTGTCCTCCCAGGCGCCCCTGCTGCTGTCTCCAGAACAGCTGTACCCTTTCCGTGGTTTTATCCTTGCCGGATCCACCTCAGCTGTCAGAACATCACCCGGAGCAAACTAAAAATGAAAAGCAAACAGCCAGAGCTTCCCCACGCAAAGGAAAGGGAATTTGACCCTTTTTTGCAATTTTGAGAGCGGTGTTTTTACCGGGAGACTCAGTCACTGCAATTAGCCCTCAGGATCCCCTGCAGAGAAGCAAATCCATATTTCCTTGCTTCACTCATTGCAAGGAGGTTACTTTATTAAACTCTTATGGTTTGTCTTGTCCTCTTCCAGCCCTGTGTGGTTCATGTAGCTCACGCAAGGACAGGGGCATTGGTTCCGGCTGCAAAGAAAAGGGAAGATGAGGAAAAGAGTAATCATAATCCTTAACAATAATAAAATAAATAATAACTATAATAGAAAAAAATCGCCAAACAAGCTGTGCTGTTTGGTAGCTGCAAAGGAAATGGGAATGGGAGCAGAAGAGCTCGTACTTTTTATCAGATGCCTTTCCCCCGGCCTGTCTTCAGAATCTTTCAGGCTTTCATCCATATCTCTCTGGGAGGGGGAACATGGAGAAAATGCCATTTTCTGCTCAGACCACAGGAGGAGCAATGGAGAGCTCAGATCTCGGCCTGCAGGGCGTTCAGATCTATCATTCATCTCCTTGAAAATCTCAGCTCTGTCCCCTGCATGGGAAAGAAAGGTCTGTGGGTTTCAGTGCCTCGAGGCAGGGATGTGCCTCAAGGAGACAGAGGTACAGCACAGGGCAGGTTCATTTGCTGCACTAACGAAGCCCAGGGCAAAGCCTGGGCTCAAGCCAGGGTCCCTAATCTCAACCTAAAGCCATTGTCTCCTCCTCGGTGACACACGTCCTGTAGAGCTGATCAGCTGTTCCTCTCCCCTCTGGGCAGGAGGGACAAATGAGTGTGTATGTGGGTGAGCTTGCAGTGGCCTGCTGGCCAGTGCCAGTCACTGCCTGGATAAAATATCTCACCCAAGAAGAGCTCAGTTGCTCTCTGTTGCCACAAAACATGTGAATAGGATAATTCCCAGAAGTTTTCTGGAGAACTTAGTAACACTGACCTTTCTTCGCTTTAGTAAAACCTGCTCTTTCCCCAGTTTTCATGTCATTGTTTTCACTGGTGGTCTTTTTCCCTTTTCTTTTTCCTTTTCTTTTTCCTTTTTCTCTCCCTTTCCCTTTTCCTTTTCTCTTTTCTCTTCTTTTTTCCTTTTCCTTTTTCTTTTCCTTTTCTCTTTTCTTTTTTCCTTTTCCTTTGCTTTTTCATTTTCCTTTTCTTTTTTCTTTCTTTTTTCACGGAATTGTCAGAGTTGGAAGGGACCTCTAGAGATCATCTGGTCCAACTCCCCTGCTAAAGCAGGAACACCTAGAGCACATCACTCAGGGCTGCATCCAGGTGGGTCTTGAAGATCTCCAGACAAGGGGGACTCCACGACCCTCCTGGGCAGCCTGTTCCAGGGCTCCGTCACCCTCTCCCCAAAGTTTTTTCTCATATTTGAATGGAACTTTCTATGTTCCAGCTTGAGCCCGTTGCCCCTTGTCCTATCGCTGGAAACCACTGAAAAGAGTCCGGCTCCAACATCCTTCAACGGACTCTTTAGATACTTATAAACATAAATAAGGTCTCCCCTCAGTCTTCACTTGTCCAGGCTAAAGAGTCCCAGGTCTTTTCTTTTCCTTTTTTTCTTTTTCTCTTTTCTTTTTTTCTTTTTTCTTTTCTCTTTTTCTCTTTACCTTCTTCTTTTCCTTCTTTTTCTTCTTCTTTTTCTTCTTTTTCAGTTTTCAGAAGCAAAACAGCAAAGTGAGGGGGGGAACAGTCAGGGCTAACTACAGAAAAAGAAGACAGAATGTAATGGGTGGAAAAGAAAAAAACACCAATAGATTTCTGTTCTTTTTGTTTTTTTTAAAACTAGTTATAAAAACAGATAAAAGACTTCCTTTTCAAGGCTGCATGATGAGAAATATTTTGAAAATTGCCAGGAAAAAAACATAGTACTACTAAAACAATGATTTCTCAGATCATCGTGCTGATGTCCTTGCCCTGCCAACAGCAGTTTGCAGGGTTGATCTTGCCAGTAGAAGAGAAAGATAATCGGGGCAGGAGAAACAAGATTGATCATGTTTTAATAATTCTTTTTTTATTCTGATGATTTTTTTCCCTCTGCTGCCTCAAAGCATGACAGGCGTTGGCTGGCGCAGCCCTGACGGACTGACTCACAGACCCAGAAATGCTCTTCCTGCTGACACACTGCTTTTCCTTTATAAAAGTTGATTAACCATGCTCCTCTGCAGTGCACCGTTATCTCAAGACATTCCCGGCTGTCCGTGGCGATAATGGGAGGGAGACCTTTCCCTTTACTTGAATCTGACTCATCTGAAATGTCGTCGTCCCCCGTCAGCCAGAGGAATGCTGATAGCGGATATTTTGAATAGTTCTTTTGACCATGGGTATGGAGGTATCTGTCATTCTTTGCTTGGTCATTGGATTTTGGAAATGAGGTTCCTAATGTCAGAATGCTGACAATTAGACACAATTTAGAATCGTAGAACCATAGAATCATAGCATCATCTAGGTTGGAAGGGACCTTTAAGGTCATCTAGTCCAGCCATCAACCTAACTCTGATAAAAAAACCAAAAGAAAACCATACAAAAGAACCCCCCACATCACCAAACCATGTCTCTAAGTATTATATCAACCCGTCTTTTGAAACCCTCCAAGGATGGTGCCTCAACCACTTCCCTGGGCAGCCCATTCCAGTGCTTAGTAACGCTTGCAGTGTAAAAATTTTTCCTTATATCCAATCCATTATATTTAATATAATCTAATGTAAAGTAATGTGATATAATATAATACAATGAGTAGGATACGATAGGATAGAACAATATAATATTAAATTGTTACGTCAAGATTTTTAAAAAATTAAAAGCAGACCATTTAGCTGTATATAGGTGTTCTCCTGTCTATGCATAGTCTGTCTGTGATCCCAGTTGGGATCGTTAAAACTGCACAGGGTTCCCTTCTGGATTTGGGTGATCTGCGTGGGGTTTTGATGTCCAGCGTACAAGGAGTGCTCCTGCAGGTCCAGGGAAGGAACCCCTTGCAGAAAAGGCAAATTTCCCTGCACTGGATCAGATGCAAGGAGAAAAATATCTCAAGGCCAGGAAGAGCCAGAGAAATAAATAAACCCCAAAATAACACCCAGTGCCCAGCTAGGCACCCAGGCAAGGTAGGGACCTACAAAGGGGTGTTGATGCACAGCTACACTGAGGATGCTTATGTCCTGGCTTGAGGTAAAACAGAACCAACCTTCTGTTCAGCAATTTTACTTCTTAGCTAGGCCTCTTCTAACTCTCTGAAATTAACATCATCTTGTGCAGAAAACTGTTCATTCTCAGGGTGATAAGACCAATATTTATAGCTATGCCAAGGAATGGTGTGCAGAGAGGCTCTGGCTTATACTTACTGCTGTAACAACCAAGGCCAGCTAAGCTCGTTATTTGCCCCATTGGAGGGTCAGAAACAGAAAAGCATAGAGGGGTCCCACTTGTGGGGAGGAGGGGACAGGAGAGGTGACCCAAACCTGACCAACAGGGGTATTCCATCCCATCTGCCCCATGCTCAGTATAAAAGAAGAGAGATCAAAGGGTCAGCTCTCTTTATTCAATGGCCAATGTCCAAGGAGGACCCTGTCTGTTCATCTGCCTTTGGTCCCGATCCGTGTGTTCCTGACTCCAGAGCAATATTTATAGCTATGCCAAGGAATGGTGTGCAGAGAGGCTCTGGCTTATACTTACTGCTGTAACAACCAAGGCCAGCTAAGCTCGTTATTTGCCCCATTGGAGGGTCAGAAACAGAAAAGCATAGAGGGGTCCCACTTGTGGGGAGGAGGGGACAGGAGAGGTGACCCAAACCTGACCAACAGGGGTATTCCATCCCATCTGCCCCATGCTCAGTATAAAAGAAGAGAGATCAAAGGGTCAGCTCTCTTTATTCAATGGCCAATGTCCAAGGAGGACCCTGTCTGTTCATCTGCCTTTGGTCCCGATCCGTGTGTTCCTGACTCCAGAGCTGGAACCCAGTTCCCATCCCTCGCTGAGTCCAGTGGGACTCTACCCCACTCTTCCCCACTTCCAGTGGGGAGGTTCACTGGGACCTCCCCAGTTCCTGCCGGTGACATCATCCTGGGAGCTTGATATGGTTTTGTATATATATAATATAGATATATTGTATATCTATTTCATTATTTTCCTTTTATTTTATTATTAATAGTTCCTTCTAAACTCATAAATCTCTTTATCCTTCCTCTTCCTCTTGGAGATTTTCAAGACCCGCCTGGATGCTCCTGAGTAACATGCTCTAGCTCTAGGCAATCCTGCTTCAGCAGGGGAGTTGGACTAGATGATCTCTATGGTCCCTTCCAACTCTAAAATTCAGTGAAATTCAGTGAAATTCCTCTCCTTGGAGCGAGAGGTGGGGGAAGAGCATCTGGTCATTGGCCGACTTGGCCTAAACCACTGCATGTTAATTAAGAGCACTACTTAGGGCGGTTTTGCCTGGAGGGAGTTTAATTTGTGATGGTTTTGGAGCAGGCAGGGCTGGGGAGGTCACACCAGGCAGCGAGTGAGTCTTCTTTCTTGTTAAAACTAGGAAAATAGGTTTTTTCCATGCCCTCACATTTCCATGGTCTGTTCTAGCCACAACGTCCTGGCCCGGTGCAGAAAATACAGTTGGGGAGTAGCAGTAGGGCTGAGTTAGGTCCCGTGAGCATGCCTGGTACTGTCTTTTCTTCTGCCCTCATATTTTTTTTGTTAATTCTTGGACTACGACCAGGGAGAGCAGCCGGTGCTGTTTCCCACAGGGATTAAAGCCTCCCAAGGAGGGCTGTTAGTGGTATCTGACACAGCGAAGGTGTGACTTCTCCTCCTACCATCACTTCCACCTGGCAACCTGTCTTCACACCCTGTCCCATCCCTGTGCCCCTGGCTCGAGCCAGCAGACCTGAATTAAATGGGATTTTCTGTAAGCCATGGCTCACGTGTAGCCCAATTTGCAGAGGCTGGAGAGGCTTTTGAATTCCTCTGTCCTCAGGTAGACAAACCATCTCGGGACCCTGGCAGGGAAAATATTGGAAGTTTTGCTTATTTAGGAGCATTAGACTCCTATCCTTCTCCATGAGCCTTGCAACATCTCCAAGACATGCCCTTGCCCAGCAGCTTGAGACACCTGAGGCTGGCTTTTCCTTTAGGAAAGCCAAAAGATCTTCTCTCTGCCACAGGCTGGCTCTGTCCCTCTGCCACGTTGTCACCGTCACTGTTCAAATCTCCTTGGCAAGACATAAGTTTCTCTTAGCAGTCTTGAAAGTCAAATGCCAAGAAATATTTAAAGGATAAAAATAATAAAAAGAGGAAATGAGCAGGCACTTAAAGCATTTGCTTTGCAGTGGCTGACTCTTTGTAGGATTTGAAGGAAGGAGCATGGTATTTTGTAGCTTATATTTTAACATTAGTCACTACCTTTTCCCTAAATTCCATGGAGGCTGTTTCCTTGCAGCACACCTTTCCCAGAAATGGAGAAAAATTATATCCTGGAGAGTGGCTGAATTACCACTTTGTGTTCCTTTGCTTTGGCTTATCGGGTTAGATGTGAGGCTCTCACAGGGGAACTCCATCCAACGTCCCTTTTTCTTTAGGGTTTTCTCCTTTTTAAACACTACTTAAGGCCAATGTCAATGACTGATAAAACACCACAGTCATGCTATCGCAGACATGGGTGATACAAGTGGATTTTTTGTGTCATTGAGGTTTTCCCCACTATCTTTGTGACCTTTTCCCTTGTAAGGACAGCCTTTCTTTGGTGGTGCACGTGGTGGAGGCAGCTCTAGTCACCAGCAGTCTGAATTCCTTGGGTGACTTCTGTGCCTGGTTGCTGACCAGAGCCAGAAAAGCAGATCTCTGCTCTCGTGGAGAGCTATGCTGAAATCAGTGGGATTGCTTGTGGGCTTAGGACCTTGCTTGTGGCCTTAGGATCCAACCCAGAGCATCCCAGTGTCCCCACCCCATGGCCTTGGTAGAAAAGGAGGACAGCAGTGTGTATGAAAGGCTGAGACCTCACTGGCAGGATGAGCACTGGTAGAGGATTTGTTAGCACCATTCACCCCTGTAGAAAATGCAAGAATTATGTGGACCAAATCAACAGGTTTTGATATCGTATATATTTATTAAAAAACACTGAAAATACATTCCATTTAGATTTTATTGGTGTTTCATCAGAAAAGCAACGTACAGTCTTATTCAACATGTGGGATAACATTATTTTTTTAGTCAAAGGCATCTGCAAGGCTGTGGTTCTGTGCCATCACCGCGCGGGTGACGAAGTAAAATTCAGTCCCGATGTGCCATTTCCACAAAATTGGGGCATGTCTTAATTCTGGACCATAAAAATATATGACACTTAGTTCATTACAAACTGGTTGACACGTACAAAGCATTTCAGACGTGTTGGATAGCCTGTCCTGCCATGGTGGCAGCAGGACAGTTTTAGGTGTTGCTTCTAATGACACCTCTTTTGTACAGAAGGAAGAGGGAGCAGAGGTAGCTGCCCCAGGCACCGCAGTAAAACCCCCTTGGGCCAGGATGAACATCTGATCTCCTCTGACTTAAGACAGGGTACCAAGCTATCTTGGTCCCATTCCTATTTGCTTTAGCCCATGGGATTCACTGGGCCCTGGATAACTCCCTAACAAGGACACAGATGAAAACATTCCTGCTGGGTTTGTGGCAGGAAGAAAGGAAGGGAGACGCGAGATTATCCGGGTGTAATTGCACCAGGGTGAAGGATGCTACATCAGGAAATATTCCACCAGAGAGGACCCAAGTTAAACCTAAGCACAGAAACTTTAAGCCTACACTCGTGCTCTCTTTTCCCTTTTTCGTAGTGGAGTAAGCGTTATGTACAACAATTAATTGATACCTTAACTGAAAAATAAGGCAGAAATGCTCCTGAGATGGAGACATCTGGAAAATTCCTCAGCTTTCAACAAAGCAACCCAAATAGTCCCTGCAATGTGAGGCACGTCGCTGAGACTGCCTTTTCCCCATACAGACCCCGAGTCGCCACAGCTAGACAGCACAGGCATCATTTGATGTATGTAGGTTGTCCCACTGATTTTGCTAGGATTATTCATTTTCTTGATTTATTAATGAATTCAGAATGCTGTGCCGGCTTGTCATAACACAGGCAGGGTATGAATTTTCTGTGGGACTTCTAAGAATGCCACTCCTGCATTCACCGCTTCTCCCAGCTACTGCGCAGAAAAAAAAGGAAGCATGGACAGAATGTTAAAAACATTTCTATCAGCTACACTTTCCTGTGTTGTTTTGGTGTTGGTTTTTTTTGTTTTTTTTTTAATGTACAATGGAGGAATGAAGACCAAAAAAACAGCAGGAAAGGGTTTTCCTCCACACATGGAAGAACAGGATGCAGGTCACTGCCTACAGTAAACTCCTTTGTGTTCAGTTCCCATTTCTGTAGCAATTAAGTCTCAAGTACACAATAAAACCAGCAGAAACTTCAGGAAACTTATGTACCCTTCAAATCACATGCCTGTTCTTTTCTACCATCTTTTTGCCTTGTAGAGCACGGGTAAATAATGAAGCTAGCACTGCTTGATGGGAAGCAGGAATGGCCCCTTGGTCCTCAGATTTTTGGGGAGGATTCACACAGAAACAGCTCCAAGAGGTTTCATTGTCAGGAGCGCCCAAGTATAAACAGCTCTCTGAAGTTAGGTACCTAGGGAAGACTGGGGAACAACTTGGCCCTGAGAAAGCACTTGCTTTGAAGCGGGGTTAAAAGTTTTATATATAATAATTAGCAAATATACAACATCCAGTGTATTCTCTACAGGGGGAGGAATGGAAAATGCACTCAGTCTGGGCCCCAAGCAGTCGGGAAGGGGTCCTACCCAAAAAGTATGATCCAACAGGAAAAGGCTGGTCTCTCATCCGGCTGTATTTGAAGGAGAGCATTGTTTTCTGTATTTTACAAGTGGTTTTCAACTGAATACACTGGAAACAGGTAGGTGGTTCTTCTAAACATAGTTTTTCATACCTTTTAACCATCTATTCTCTGCCTTGGCCCCTTGTCTACGAGTTGAACAGCTTTCCGGGGGGCTGTGCACCTCCTGTGCTCAGGGGGCAGACTAAGGTCTGGCCTTATGGGGCTCGGTGCCCCGGGGGAAGAATTGCTGCCTCCCTGCTCCCAACTCGGTGCCATCCTCCTGCACAGGTCTGGGCACCTGCAGCAGGGGTGATAGCTCCACTACCTTTGCAGTGTCTGCTCCCCTGAAGAAGCTCTCTTCTGCTGTAGTTTGAAAAAAGTCTATTCAGTGTCCTCTGATGTGACATCTGTGGGATTTTTTTTAAAAAAAAAAACAACAACAAAACACCTAAAAAACCCCTGCTTGTGGCTGCGGAGACTAGCTCTTGCCCTGGTGAAAAAAACACCTAAGAATTTCAAATCCATTTTAATGAGAGCAAGGTGAAAACACTGGTTGAATGCTGGCTGGCTGCTGCCAGGCGGGCGAGGGGGGTGGCTAGCATTGCTTTTGGGATGACAAAGGATGGGGCTGGGGTGGGGGGCTGTGGGAAAAGGGCACAGAAGCTGCTGCTTTTGCACGTCGGCAAAAAGGTAGGGGAGACCAAATGAAAAATGAAATTAACTGTTTTCCTTTAGGGAGACAAATCAATACTTACAATTTGCTGGTTTTAAGCAAGGTGAGGTTCTGCAGAGCTGAGGGGCAGCCGGCAGGCAGCTTCAACCCCATCCAGTCCCAACCCCACAGCACCGTCCCTGTTAACCCTCCCCTTGGAAGAGCGGTGGCTGGTTTATAAACCACTGGGCTGATCTGAGCTGCCTTCCCACCCAGCGCCCAGACCTGCCTTTTGAGGGGGAGATCAGCTCCCCCTTTGCAAGGAACCCCAGGACAGACTCTCGGACATGTAAAACCACGTTAAAACAGATAGCATCCCCTCCTCCCCTTTTATTTCTTTCTTTTTAATTTGCAAACACGCTGTCTGTCGCTCACGGCTCCGTACCCCCTCCCGCCGCCCCGGGTGCTGTTACCTGCGCTCGCTGCCCGCCCCACGGCTCTCCGGCTGCTCGGGCACCCAGCAGTAGTTGTCCGCTGCGCTTTTGGCTGGCCGCTTCTCCTGCTTGGCTGCTCTCTTCCTGCAGGCCAGCAGGGCCAGGGAGAAGGCTAGCAGCAGCAGGATGGCTACCAGGCTGCCCAGGATATAATACAAGAGCAGCCTGGGGCCGTCAGCGCTGTGCTCTGGGCCGGGTGCTGACCCTACTGCCGTAGGGGCCGGTGGTGTTGCCCCGATGGGGGCACCCAGGGTCTGGGGGATGCCCATGGTCGATGGGGCACCTGTGGTCCGGAGGATGCCCTTGGTCTGCAAGGCGCCCATGGTCCCTGTGGTGCCTGTGGTCTGCGGGGTGCTGTCGGGGCCCACTGAAGGCTCCTCTCTGGCGGTGGGTGCAGCACGGCAGCCATGTCCATCCTCCTCTGGGAGGAAGCCGTGTGAGCAGAGGCACTTGAAGTCACCGGGCAGGTTCTGGCAGGTCCCTGGGCAGGGGTCCCGCAGGCACTCGTCCACGTCCACGCAGGCATCGCTGCCAGGCTGGCGCTGGTAGCCGGGCTGGCAGGCACAGTGGAAGGATCCCGGGATGTTGATGCAGAGCTGGGGGCAGACACCGGGCTGGGCACACTCATCCTCATCGCGGCAGTGGTGGCCACCAGGCCCCGTCGGCTGGTAGCCGGGCTGGCAGAGGCAGACGAAGCTGCCGTCTGTGTTGTGGCACTCGTGCTGGCAGGGTTTGGCCAGGCACTCATCCACGTCCAGGCAGTGGCGACCGTCGGTCGCCAGGTAGTAGCCGTCCTTGCAGCTGCACTCGAATCCTCCGGGCCGGGTCTGGCAGATGTCCTGGCAGGGGTTGGGGTGGCAGGCATCCTCAGGCAGGCAGGAGGCCATGTCGGGGGCCAAGGTGTAGCCGGGGTGGCAGGCGCAGCGCGGGGGCTCCCCAGGTGCCTCCAGGCAGCGGTGCTGGCAGCCCCCGTTGCGGTGGGCGCAGGCGGCAGGGCAGAGGGGCCCGGGGGGGTGCCAGGCAAAGCCATCCCCCTGCTCCAGCTTCTTGCAGACGGCGAAGGGTGGGTTCCCCCTGGGTGGGTCCCCCCCCGCTTCACAGTGGACGTCCGCCAGCGTGCCAAAGGGGGCTGCTGCCAGCTGGGGGCTGCGCACCCCAAAGGGGGTGTTGTAGGTGACCCGGCCGGGCCCGGCCAGCGGCAGGGGCCCGCACATCCCCTGGAAGATGAACTTGCAGAAGAAGGCGGGCAGCGGAGTCCGGCAGTGGTGGGCAGTCCAGCCGGGGCTGCCGGCGGGCCCGGCCAGCTTCAGGCTGACGCAGCGGGTGCTGAGGCAGGTGACGGCGGGCTCGGACAGCCAGGCCGAGTAGTTGCCCCCCTCCTCGCCAGCCACCCAGCTGAAGCCCCGCAGCGGCTCCTGGGGCTGGACGCAGTGGCCCCGTGGCAGCCACAGCCCGATCCAGGCCGGGCCTGTCCAGTCGGCCCCCACCAGCAGCTCCTGCAGCCGCCGGGCCTCGGCGGGGCTGTGGGCCGGGGCCAGCTTGCCGCCGTTATCGTGGCAGCGTTTCTGGGCGTCGTTCCAGCCCAGCTGGGCCCGGTGCAGGGTGTAGCAGGCAGCACCGGCGCAGACCACCTCGGCCTCTTCCCCGCTGGACCCCCCGACCAGCAGCAGCAGCAGCAGCGGCAGCGGGGCGATGGCCATCCCTCCGGCTGGATGGACAGACGGATGGACGGAGGGACTCGTCGGCTGCCGGCTCACATCCCCTCGTCCTGCCGAGCCGGCCCTGCACGCATCCTGTGCTCCCGGGTCTCCTATTTATCACCGGAGGCTACGGCTTCCTGTAGTGTGGGTCTGGTTCGACACTTGTTGTTGACGGCCCAGGCGCTCGCCTCTCTGGCTTCCCCTTCCCCCCGGCTCCTCGCTCCCATCCTCAAGCTTTGGCGATGCTTTTCTGTGGGAGAAACTAGCCGGCTTTTTTATTTTTGGGTTTTGAGGGCTTGATCTACTCGCTTCCCCAGCCGACGGTTTTTCTAATCCCTAATAGGGCCTGATAGTTTTCAAGCGTGTATTGCTAAAAGGAGAGAAAACAAAAAAAAAAAACAACCAAAAATAAAAAGCCGTGGGATTTCTTGCTATCAGCTGCTAAAAGAAACCGAATATTTGGCGCGGTGTCTCATGCGCACACTACATTTCCAGTGCATTTTTCCCCTGCTTCAGGCACTTTAAATAGACAGGCAAGCCCTGAAATAGGAGCTAGGTCGTGGGAAGGTCCAGGCAGCCAGAAGGGAGCCAAGCGCGGCCGGTCCCCAATGCTGCCCAGGGCGAACCCTCCGTGCCAGGGGGTGCACTGGCCAGATGCTGCCCCAGCGTCACGCGGGTGATGGGTTGATGCTGTGATGCTCCGTGTTAATAAGTCGCTAATCACTTGACCCTGATCCGGTGCGCTACAGAGAGTCAGCTGGGCTTGGCTGACGGCGGTGCCGGTGCAGAAGGCCATTAAAGGGCAAAGGCATTAATATAGCACGCTGTAATGTTTAAACAAACATTAATGTTGCAAAAGCCCATAAAAGGGCTTGAAGCTACTTGTTAGGATCCAAAGCAACAGCATGTTAGGATCCAAAAGCATTTTAACACACTGAGTGAAATTTAAATAACTTTAAATATTCAAATTAAATATTTACTGGTGCAAAATTTGCTGTGCTTATCCTTTTTCAGACCAGGAGATGCCAAGCAATGCAGTGACTTCTTTTCTGCCTCAGCACTGCAGCAGGTGTGCTCACCTTTGGGTGCCACAGCCATGCACATACACAGAGCAGTATTTTGCACATCTGAGTATCCCCAGGCATGTCCTGGTTTGGACCCATCATTTTTTATTTTACTGTAGAGCTGCCCTTTTCAAGTGGATTCCTGCCCGCTGAGCAGTGACTGCAGAGGGGTCAGGATGCTGACAGTGTTACAGAGGGTGAAGATTAATGGACTGTCTCATAGAAGGGAGGACTGCAGGATGATGTCTCCAGACACGGTGCTCTCTGCTTTACTCTTGAGGTTTGGAGACCCTTGGATGAAGACAAGCAGGTAGAGCGGTTTGATGACACAGGTTTTGCACACGTCAAGTAACGTGGGGTGGTTTATTTGCACAGTTATCAGAATACACGGTAGTGCGAGGCAGTGGGATAGAAAATGACTGGAAATCTAATGAGTTCAAAAAAAACCTAGTCCTGGTTCCCTTGCTGATGGTCCACCTTTCTTTCCGCATCCCCAGGAGCTTCTCCTGGAGCTTTCCTCTTGTAGCAACTAATTCAGACTTTAACCCCTTGACCTGCGGGTCTGTACTATCTTTTCCTGCTTAGCAGGCGTCCGTCATAACCATTAATACAATATTTATTCCAGTAACCTTCCTATTTGTTGATTTATCTGGGGTTTTTTTGTATGCTGAGTTAGCTCAGTAACTCAGTAGTGAGTGACAGCAATCCAACTGAGGAATGGAAACAAGAAACCACCTTGTTCACTTCCCTCCTTTACACCCCAAATAGAAAGGTTTCCAAAAATCCCAGTACTGAAGACTACAGAATTGTGTTGTTCTTCCCCAGACCTGTTTCTGCACAGCATTCCTGGAAGAGCCCTGGGTGCTGGGATGCCCTCTGGGCAGCAGCAGGGACTGGGGCTGGGTTTTGGGTCTCACACATCTGAAGGTTACAAACACCTTTGATGCAAAGTAGGAGGGGGCAGGAGCTGGAGCCCCTCCACCCCACAGGTTGGCACGATACTGGATGGCACTGGCTTCACTAAAACCAAAGAGAGAAGCATCATTTGAGTGATGCAGAGGTGGCACTCCTGTCAAAGCTGAGAATAAGATGCAGGGATCCACAACTGGAGTGTTTTGGGTCAGCAGCCACAGCGAAAAACTGCAGCGGGAGGAAAAGGAAAAAAATACTTTGATGACATCTCAAATTGGTTTTATTCAGAATTTCCTACTGGAAGAAATGGGGGGAATTTTCTTTTGACTTGTACAAAATAAGAGAGCTCAACACAAAAGCATTTCCTTTCTGCTGAACTCGTACATGTCTTTGCTTTTATAAAAACACTGCTAGTGTTTTCTTTTCCCAGATGAAATGGTCAGACAAGCTGAGTGCTCAACCAACAATTTATTTCAGCAATCCCAACGAGCATTTTTTGTCCAACCAAGCTCCATGCACAAAAAATGGTCAGTTCTAACTATAGTTCCTCTGGACATTTCCAAGCTGGGATTATAGGCCAAACCAAAGATATGCAACTAGGAATTATTTTTAAGAGGTCATTCCAGCAAAGAAATTAATGAATTGCTGGTGATATTCTTCATTAGGATATGGATGAGGTCCAATCACATAAAAGTCAGGGCTCCAGTCCCAGGGAAGAAAACGTCTTTTTCAAGACTGCAGTGTCAGATCCTTTCCTTTGATTTGCAAGAATACAGCCTATACGTTTTTCCAGTGGCTTTCTTTTTTCTTTTTTTTTTTTTTTTTCCCCCAATAAATGTTTGAATATTCCTGTTCGAGCTATTTACAGGCTGGTTACAATTTCATGGACAGGAAAACTCCTCCACCACCACTTTTTAGTGAGATCTTCATCTGCGAAGCTTGTGCTAATATTTTTACCCACAGTTTTGGCAAGAGAGTAGTTTTTGGTAACTTAAAAACACATCGTGCTTCTATTGTTTTTTATTAAATACGCCATGCTTTTTAAATTTTCTTCTCAGTCGGGCTGATGTTCCCATTTGAAAATCAATCAAAGTCCTGGTTCCCAAGTTAAAAGTTGTTTTTCAACCTCCACGGCTGAACATGCCTATAAACCCCTCTTTCAGATAATAATCAAAACCAAATTATCTTCTGGAGACCAGAAATCCTGCTGAACAGCATGCTGCATTTGAAAGAAAAATATAGAATTAAATGTAAAAAAAAATGAAAAAATCAGCTTGCTGAAGGAACTGGTTAAAAAAAAATGTTTCTCCAAGGCTAAAGAAGGAAACATGTACCGTCTGCTTGACATCAGCAAGAGCTGTTTATGCAAACCCCCAAGGCTGGGACAAGGGACAATGGGGCTGGGGGGAGAGGGGGGGCACACACACCTGCGCCAGCAGCAGCCCGAGAAGAATAGGAGGAACTGGGCTTCCTCTGGGGACGTCCTCAAGGACGTCGTGTCGGGTTGGTGGTGTGGCAGCAAACCACCCACTCCCCGGGCAAGGAGTGGGGTCTGGCAGCCCCCACACAGCGGGCAGGCTCTTGGGATGGGGTAGCTTTTTTTGCATGTGAAATTTTGGGGAATTTGGGCCGTGTGGAAGTGGGTTAAATCCTGCTAATTCCAAATGTGGGCACTGGAGAGGCTGCTGCATGTTTGCAGAAGCGCACTTTAGCTTTACTGATTTACAGCAACATCTTATTGGATATTAAGATTTTGATCATCTGCTTTTAAAGCAAGAAAATCTTTATGCTGACAGAGCTGAGTGGAACATTTTCCAGTGAAATAGTTTTGAAGGATGATGCTTTAGTGTCTGGTGTTTGAGTCCCTTGCTAAGAAGCAGGAATTAGCAGAGCTGTAACAGAAACAAAACCCAAAGCACCAGGAACAGGACACTGCTTTATTTACTTTCCAGCTTTCATCGTTGTTATTATCTTTATGGCAGCAGTAGGTGCATTTGCTTGCATGTCTTGCAGTCAGGTAAAGAACGATGCTGATTTTTGTTAAGGGTCCCGTAATTATGGAGCCGTGGCATGTTGTTAGCTCACGCGTTCAGCAACTCAAAGCAACTGTTCCTGATGTACTTTCCAGAGGCAGGTGGGTATGGGGAGGTGTTTCTCCTTCCCTGCTCCTGCTCTGCCAGGCTTGCCCTCCCGGGAGGGTCCGGGGAGCCCCGGGAGCTGTCTGAGACGAGCACCAGGAAGAACGAAGCCAGACACTCACTGCTTTAAGCCAAGCTGCTGGAGAGCCTGCGAGTTATTTAAAAATGCCTGGAAGGAAGTAGAAAAGCAAACAGCATTGAATACAAGGTGGGGGAAAGAAAATTAAAAAAAAAAAAAGAAAAACTGCCCGAAGCCGGACCGTAACAGGAGGGATGGAGAAAGGGTTTGCAAGCAGCCATGAGCACCAAAGCCAGATCCCAGGAAACATCCCCGGGAGGGAAGCCCAGGGGATCTCGCCTTTGGAGTGGGTTCCTTAATGCCAGGTTGTTGTCTTCTCTTCGTATGCTTCTTCTCAAGCTGCAGATGCAGTCAGAAGCCTGGATCGCCCTGTCACCCAGCCACGGGCTGATCTTATGCAGCCTGTGTTCTGGGGGGCAGAGCACAGTCACAGTGGGACTTGGTGCCACAGTTTATTCATTAATGCAATACTTGTATTTGCAGGAAATATATACTCCCTTCAGTTATTATTTATTTTTATATATATACACGTTATGATCTTACACACACAAACACATATGCATACTTTATATACAGATTTATGAACCTTATTCTACATATTTTGATCAACAAGTGTATTAGAATTCCCTTTGGGTTACAGTAGGTTGTCCTAAGTCAGGCTGAGGAATATCACGCCCCTAAAATCCCCCCGGGGTTTTTGCATGGGCCTTTACACCGAGAAAGAAAAATAATCCCTGTGAGTAAATGCAACAAACTCAACTTTATAAGAAAAGCAAATTAAAATATTTCACATTCTTTAGTGGTAATCGCTCAGAATCGTTTCTGTAAGACCTCTTAGCACTGTTAGTTTTTCTAAGCGGCAGTAACAAAGAAAGGGCTTCAGTGTGGAGGTGAAGGATGTGTTCCCACCTTGCTTTCAGTTGTTGAAACAGCTGGGAAGGCTCCTGAAGCACTAACACAGCTTATGGTCCCCGCCGGGGCAGCAGAGGTGCTGCAAGAAGCCACTGCTGATGGCAGAAGGAGGAGGCTGAGAAGCCAACCGGGGCCAGGCAAGGGATGGGACCATGGCCCGTGTTATTCAGTTCTGGGCACCTCAATCCAAGAGAGATCTGGAGGTGCTGGAGCGAGTGCAGAGGAGGGCAACGAAACTGGTGAAGGGCCTGGAGAATAAATCATATGAAGAGCGGCTGAAGGAGCTGGGGCTGTTTAGTATGAGGAAGAGGAGGCTGAGGGGAGACCTCATCACTCTCTACA